ACTTCAGCCAACATCCGTGAAAGCATATCCCTTCAATTCCACAACACCTGTGAAGATGGAAGGAAAATTCCGCGTTTTAGCAGAGTCGAAACACAAATTCACGGTAGCTACCATATTTGTTACTTCTGACGACGGCGGTTGTTTACTTAGTTCTGAAACTGCACAAGAACTTGGACTCGTAAGTCTCCATTTAAATCAGATAAACAAGGAAACAGAACGTTCAAAAATCACACCAACAACGAGCGATAAAAACCTCGCACGCATCCTAGATAAACATGGCCCTGTGTTCTGTGGACTTGGGAAACTAAAGAACAAACAAATCGAATTAGTTATCGATGAAACCGTTTCACCAGTTGCACAACCGCAGCGCCGAGCACCGTTCCATTTACGCGGAAAAATTGAAGATGAAATACGCAGATTAGAACAGGATGACATCATTGAGAGAATACCCGAAGGAATTTCAACGGAGTGGGTTTCCCCAGTCGTCGTCGTCCCAAAGCGTGACGATAAGATTCGATTGTGCGTAGATATGCGAGTAGCAAATACAGCTATTCAGAGAACTAGACATCCCATACCCACTCTAGAAGCTGTCTCTATTGAGCTTAACGGAGCTCGGTTTTTCTCAAAACTTGACCTAACTCAAGCCTACCATCAACTGGAGCTGAACCCAGCATCTCGGGGAATAACAACTTTCTCCACTCATCTCGGTTTATATCGCTATAAAAGATTAAACTACGGCACAAATGCTGCAGCGGAACTCTTCCAACACACCCTACAGGAGACATTACAAGGAATTCAAGGAGCTAAAAACATCGCAGATGACATCATCGTGTTTGGAAATACTCGACAGGAACATGACCAAGCATTAGAAGAAGTACTTACACGTCTGCAAGAGAGTAACCTGACTCTCAATCTACAAAAGTGCAAATTCCTCAAAAAGAATCTTGAATTCTTTGGACTGGTATTCACAGAAAAGGTGTTAGCCCAGACCCCAAGAAAGTGGACGCTTTCGCCAATACAAAACCACCAACAACAGTCGGTGAAGTGAGAAGTCTATTAGGAATGGCTAACTACAGCGCTAAGTTCATCAAAAACTACGCGACCATTACAGAGCCACTCAGAAAGTTGACCCAAAAAAACGCTCGTTTTACATGGACGACAATACACCAGAAAGCATATGAAGACCTAAAGAGTGCTCTGACTAACAGTCCAGTTATGAGCCATTTCGATACATCCAAAGAAACCTCAGTCCTGGTGGATGCAAGTCCCGTTGGTTTATCTGCCATATTGACGCAAAAGGATCCAAAAACAAACGAAGACAACACTATCGCTTATGCCAGCCGAGCATTATCCCCAGTAGAACAACGGTACTCACAAACCGAGAGGGAAGCTCTCGCGATCGTGTGGGGCATTGAACATTTTCACCTTTACCTGTTCGGTGCACCTTTCAACCTAATTACTGATCACAAGCCATTACAGTTGATCTACAACAATCCTCGGTCCAAACCTCCAGCTAGAATAGAACGTTGGTTTCTAAGACTTCAGCAATACCATTTCAATGTTATCTACAAACCAGGCAGTGTTAACCCAGCAGATTTCCTGTCACGACATCCGCAATCGAAGATACCAAAACACAACCTTGCTGAAGAATACATAAACTTCATCTCGACTAATGCCGCGCAAACCACAATTCCAATACAAGTTATCAAGGAACATACGGAAAAGGATCCCAGTCTCAATGCAGTAAGAGAAGCAGTTAAGTCTGGTAACTGGGGCAGCAGTCATGTAAAGCCATTCATAAACATCAAAGATGAAATAACAGTGGACCATACAAATGGTGTAATCCTCCGAGGAACACGTATTATAATACCATCAACTCTACAAGCGAAGATAGTAAAACTTGCCCACAGCGGTCATCAAGGACTTGTCAAAAAAAAGCCTTGTTACGTCAGTATGCCTGGTTCCCTAACATTGATAAAGCTGTAAAAGAAGAGATCGATACCTGCTTTCCGTGCCAAATTAATGGTCCAACCGATCCACCCCAGCCTTTACTAACTCCAGAAACGCCGGACGGTCCTTGGCAAACTGTACATGCAGATTTCTACGGCCCGCTTCCCACCGGACAGTATATCATAGTGTTAATTGATAAATATTCAAGATACCCGGAGGCTGAAATCATCACAAGTACATCTGCTAAAGCACTTATACCAAAAACCGATGCTATCTTCGCGCGACATGGAATTCCACTGAAAATAAAGACGGATAACGGTCCTCCTTTCAATAGTAAAGAATTCAAAGATTATTTAACAAAGATTGGCGTAGAACATGAGACATCAACACCTGAATGGCCACAAGGTAACTCAGAAGCAGAAGCTTTTATGAAACCTTTGGCAAAAGCAATCAAGACCGCTCGTTCAGAACATCGTAACTGGGTCCAAGAACTTTCGAGGTTCCTGTTAAGCTATCGCACCACACCCCATTGTTCTACCAACATACCGCCCGCTCAGCTTCTCTTTAATCGGCCTGTCAGAGGAGTCCTACCCATGTTGAACCCAAAAGCTAAAGTACTAAACAGACATAAAGAAGCCAAATCGAATGACTCCAATGCCAAAGACAAAGGGAGAGAATACGCAAACAAACGAAGGAGAGTGGCGCCGTCAGAGATACAAGTGGGAGACACAGTCATTCTTAGACAGAAAAAGAAAAACAAATTTACAACCAAGTTCGAACCAACTCCTTACACGGTGCTTGAACGTAAAGGAGTTACAATAGTAGCTGAAAACCAAAGACATAAGGTGACAAGAAATGTATCGTTCTTTAAGAAGATACCAGACGCCGCAAAGGAATCCGAAGATGAAGATGATTGGAACATACCGACAGGAAATGCACTCATCGAACGAGCAGCGGACGAACCAACGCCAGAACCAGTGGTGAGAAGGTCAACAAGGCAGCGTAGACAGAGAGAACTTTTTGGAAATGCAATAAACCCAAACTTGATAATTCATTAAACAAAGGGAGAGATGTAATGTATATATATATATAGACACGGACAGTAATAGCTAAATATAGACTTGATATTGATTAGGGGATTGATTGACATTAATTGAGGGAGATCTAGTTATGTAAGGGATATAGAAAGATACATAGAAAAAGCGTAAGAAACAAGCAATATTACAAGTGTTGCAAGAGTTCCAACAACAACACCGATTACCATTCCTTTAAGAGCGCAGCCGTCCTCAAAGCTTTGAAAAAGATAGTTCTTAAATTGGTCCATTTTCTCTGAAATGCCCAGCATTGTTCCTGAAAAAAATAATTTTTCAAAAGTTTTGAGGAACAGTAAATCCAAATCTTTAGTTTTGCTTCCAAATCATTCCCACTCACCATTCACAAAAGCGTCCGAGGCATCAAAGATTGCAGATGTTGACCCAACATGGTTTCCAGCGGTTCCAGCGTCCGAGAGAGTAGTGATCTTGACCTCGTATGAGGACGTCCCTGGCAGTCGAAGAACAGCAGTATAGTCACTATACGTTTCCTTCGCACTGAGGTCGTCGCTTGATTCTGTCTCTTGTTGAGACTTGAACAGGGTGTTGTTAGGTTCCATGTACTCGATAGATGCCTTCTGCCATTTATGAAGTTTGACAGTTGAGAGTTTGTACTCAACTTTGCGAACAGATATCAAGTATCTTCGCCCTTCATTTGGCTCGGCATTTTCTTTCCATTTCATCAACACCGACTCCTTGGTCAGTCTTGTCGCGTTCAGCGCAATGGTTCCATTTTGCTCTAAAAGAAATAATGATGTTATTATAAAGGAACTCTGAAAGAACACAAGAAATTGCTGTATTCATCTTACGTTTGTAGCGACAATTCTTCCCAAAGAACGGGCGCGCACACGCGCACCGCAAAATGCCGTTTTCCTGTGCAGGATAAACGGGTTCAGCCCGCAATGGGCAGATTCTGGCAGCAACACTGCCGGTTGGACATTCAAACAGGAATGTCAGCACTCCTAAGAAAACAATTATCAACAGTTTAGCTCGCTCCATTTTTGCAATGTCACTCGTACATGCCAATGAAGCTATAATGAAATTATTGACGTCGTAATGAAATTATAACGTCACTAATAAATCGTTAATTGGCTTGTTTCTAGTCCCATCCCTCTCGATGGTTTTCATGACTTGTCAGTCTCTGGGGTAAACCTCTGTTGTGCATTTTTAGCATAAAAGCATTGGGTTTAGGATTAGCTGATTGAGATTAAGATATAGATTAGAGTTAAAATCACGGTGGTGTAACGGATCAAACTCGAACAACGATACCATGTATAAAGTTTTAAAAATTTTAATCAAATGTCATATATCATTGCAATCAATACTGTACAAGAAAAAATTATACCATTTAACATATATGTTACTGTAATCCGTGTCCGTTAATACTGCAGTTATGTTCCCACCCCCCTCCTTAAAATTTTGGTAGTTCAGTATCCCTCCCTCCCTCAGGATCTGTCTTAAATCCTCAAATGCTGCGGGGTTCTTCCTCGCTATTGATGGTTTCTGGCTCAACAGTAACTTCATGTTGTTCACATTGTGCGGTCTCTCCATCATCATGTGATTCTCCCTCTGCTTCAGGTGCATCCTCTTTAACCACATCATTATCGGCTGGGCTGTAAGCTGCGTTGTCGACTTCAACAATCACGCACTCTTTGCTCTCTGCTCGTTGAGTTACTTCAGTTGTATCTGCTGGAACAGGCTGTTGAAAATAAATTATTTGAATTAGCTTTTAAACCGTTGATTTATTCCCCTGTTGCAGGAAATAATGCCAAACTTACGTCAAAGCCGAGTATATCAATAATGACATAAGGTTCAGGTGTTTTAGTGCTTGATGTCTGCCCACTTCTATTCAGTTTTACACCAGAATTGTTACCGCGTTTCTTGCAGCAATATCTTACGCACTTGCAGCAATATCTGCAACATAAATCATAATATTTTGTTAAACTACACGTTGCCATTGGTTGGGGTTTGTTTTATTTCCTGTCACTTCAAGGTGCTTGCTGTTAATACCTGCTGAGGACATATACCATGGTTATGATAATCAGTGTTGCAAGAGTTCCAACAACAACACCGATTACCATTCCATTAAGAGCGCAGCCGTCCTCAAAGCTTTGAAAAAGATAGTTCTTAAATTGGTCCATTTTCTCTGAAATGCCCAGCATTGTTCCTGAAAAAAATAATTTTTCAAAAGTTTTGAGGAACAGTAAATCCAAATCTTTAGTTTTGCTTCCAAATCATTCCCACTCACCATTCACAAAAGCGTCCGAGGCATCAAAGATTGCAGATGTTGACCCAACATGGTTTCCAGCGGTTCCAGCGTCCGAGAGAGTAGTGATCTTGACCTCGTATGAGGACGTCCCTGGCAGTCGAAGAACAGCAGTATAGTCAGTATACGTTTCCTTCGCACTGAGGTCGTCGCTTGATTCTGTCTCTTGTTGAGACTTGAACAGGGTGTTGTTAGGTTCCATGTACTCGATAGATGCCTTCTGCCATTTATGAAGTTTGACAGTTGAGAGTTTGTACTCAACTTTGCGAACAGATATCAAGTATCTTCGCCCTTCATTTGGCTCGGCATTTCCTTTCCATTTCATCAACACCGACTCCTTGGTCAGTCTTGTCGCGTTCAGCGCAATGGTTCCATTTTGCTCTAAAGAAATAATGATGTTATTATAAAGAACTCTGAAAGAACACAAGAAATTGCTGTATTCATCTTACGTTTGTAGCGACAATTCTTCCCAAGAACGGGCGCGCACACGCGCACCGCAAAATGCCGTTTTCCTGTGCAGGATAAACGGGTTCAGCCCGCAATGGGCAGATTCTGGCAGCAACACTGCCGGTTGGACATTCAAACAGGAATGTCAGCACTCCTAAGAAAACAATTATCAACAGTTTAGCTCGCTCCATTTTTGCAATGTCACTCGTACATGCCAATGAAGCTATAATGAAATTATTGACGTCGTAATGAAATTATAACGTCACTAATAAATCGTTAATTGGCTTGTTTCTAGTCCCATCCCTCTCGATGGTTTTCATGACTTGTCAGTCTCTGGGGTAAACCTCTGTTGTGCATTTTTAGCATAAAAGCATTGGGTTTAGGATTAGCTGATTGAGATTAAGATATAGATTAGAGTTAAAATCACGGTGGTGTAAACGGATCAAACTCGAACAATGATACCATGTAAAAGTTTTAAAAATTTTAATCAAATGTCATATATCATTGCAATCAATACTGTACAAGAAAAAATTTATACCATTTAACATATATGTTACTGTAATCCGTGTGCGTTAATACTGCAGTTATGTTCCCACCCCCCTCCTTTAAATTTTGGTAGTTCAGTATCCCTCCCTCCCTCAGCATCTGTCTTTAATCCTCAAATGCTGCGAGGTTCGTCCTCGCTATTGATGGTTTCTGGCTCAACAGTAACTTCATGTTGTTCACATTGTGCGGTCTCTCCATCATCATGTGATTCTCCCTCTGCTTCAGGTGCATCCTCTTTAACCACATCATTGTCGGCTGGGCTGTAAGCTGCGTTGTCGACTTCAACAATCACGCTTTCTTTGCTCTCTGCTCGTTGAGTTACTTCAGTTGTATCTGCTGGAACAGGCTGTTGAAAATAAATTATTTGAATTAGCTTTTAAACCGTTGACTTATTCCCCTGTTGCAGGAAATAATGCCAAACTTACGTCAAAGCCGAGTATATCAATAATGACATAAGGTTCAGGTGTTTTAGTGCTTGATGTCTGCCCACTTCTATTCAGTTTTACACCAGAATTGTTACCGCGTTTCTTGCAGCAATATCTTACGCACTTGCAGCAATATCTGCAACATAAATCATAATATTTTGTTAAACTACACGTTGCCATTGGTTGGGGTTTGTTTTCTTTCCTGTCACTTCAAGGTGCTTGCTGTTAATACCTGCTGAGGACATATACCATGGTTATGATAATCAGTGTTGCAAGAGTTCCAACAATAACACCGATTACCATTCCTTTAAGAGCGCAGCCGTCCTCAAAGCTTTCAAAAAGATAGTTCTTAAATTGGTCCATTTTCTCTGAAATGCCCAGCATTGTTCCTGAAAAAAATAATTTTTCAAAAGTTTTGAGGAACAGTAAATCCAAATCTTTAGTTTTGCTTCCAAATCATTCCCACTCACCATTCACAAAAGCGTCCGAGGCATCAAAGATTGCAGATGTTGACCCAACATGGTTTCCAGCGGTTCCAGCGTCCGAGAGAGTAGTGATCTTGACCTCGTATGAGGACGTCCCTGGCAGTCGAAGAACAGCAGTATAGTCAGTATACATTTCCTTCGCACTGAGGTCGTCGCTTGATTCTGTCTCTGGTTGAGACTTGAACAGGGTGTTGTTAGGTTCCATGTACTCGATAGATGCCTTCTGCCATTTATGAAGTTTGACAGTTGAGAGTTTGTACAGTCAACCTGCGGGATATTGGTCCGTCTTGATTGATAGCTCATGGATACACAGACGTGATGTATTTCAAGATGAGATATCAAATAACAAAGGGGAGATGCCTATGCCATATTTCGTTTCGTTTGAAAATAAGACAACACTTGGAAGAATCTCTTTGATTGCTATCTTCACATTAATCATTCAAACTACGTCTCTTAGGACTGGAGTAATTCTATCCTAGTTGTACAGGAAGCAAAATTGAGGTTTATACATCTTATATATTGCGGTCTAAATTAGTTTGGTCACTAGATTAATTATTATTTCCCACTAAAGTGACGAGGCACATTCCACTGCTCGTAAAATGTATGGATGTAGCTGCTGTGATCAACTAAGAAGCTTTTGTTTAGTTTTTGTAGTTTTTTGTAGTTCATCAGCATGTGATCGTGCATGCATTTGACGAGATTAGTGTTGCTGATATCGATCAATTTACGAATTATTGGCTCGGCTATAATTTTCATCTGGAGTTCTCTTACCGCTTGACGGTTTAATCTCAAATCATTTACAGTTAATCAAAAATCAGATCTTGTGATGAGTCACGCACGTCCAGAGGACTTTATGGGTGATATAGTATGAATTAAAGCTATATAAATTGTTAACAAAATTCAGAATATTTACTGTTATATATTTATTTACGCTATTTAAGCCTTACGTGTACAAGCGATACCGAATTGAAGCTTCTACAATTAAAATTAATATAAGATACGCTTAAATCCCAATAAAATATACCGGCTAATGATCAGTATAATAAACGATCCCGCGACAGACCTGCATAGTATGTATCAACGTAATATTTCATCTCTCTCGTTACTACTGATCCGTTAATAACTGGAATAATTATTGGATATAATTAACAAGAAAGGCAAGATTGATGAAATTCCAGATACTTCAAATTCTTAAAACAACTGCATGGCGAACTACAATGGTATATGTAACTCTAAAAGTTGCTACATGATACCTTATAATTAATTAATATTGTAAGACAACAACATTTTCATTTAATTTATCAAAGTTCACGAATTTTTAGTGATCATTAGAATATAGTATGTGCGTATTTAAAAAAGATATCAATTATCAAAGGAAAAATTCTTGAAAATATAGGACTCCGAGGACTTAAATCCGAGGGGCAGAACAAATACGAATGTGAACCCCCCGATTATGGCATAATATGTCATTATTATGTTTCGGCACTGTGTGCATGAAGACTGCCAGTCTGGCGCTTTACTCCTTAGAAATCATTTGAAAATGTGTCTTCACGTTTTGTAATAGAACAGGATTCAATCCTGGTTGTACATGAAATAATTCGAGATTTGTGTATTACTATTTCCGTTCAAATATGAAGCGTGAACTATTTTACGGGCTTCTTTACGTTTTAAATGTAGTTATATCGGACTGGAGGCCCGTATAGCCGTGATAGCCAACACTATAAATTACAGGAACCACTGAGTATTTTGATAAAAATATAAAACGATAGAGACTCCGTAAAGAGTAAATATTTAGAAATATATATGTCGTCGATTCGACTAAACTATAGTCATCATCAGAAACAACACTATATATGAGTATAGGTATTATAAACGCCTAATTGAATAAGTGGCGAGAACTAACAATTCGCTTAAGTTTTTTAGACAACCAAAATTTTGCATCCAGCAATAAGGTCTGTGACAGAATTTTTCAAATTTATCCTCTTCAACACGAGTTAAAAGTGGAGAATATGCCATGAAAGTACTTGGTACTTAGCATTAATAATGGCTGAAAGAACCGAAAACGGTGTAAAATGTGAGTAATTTTCTTCTATTTTTATCAAGAAATTTTGCGGGGCATTTGAAAATTCAAAATAATAAAATTTTGTGCCATTTTCCCTTGTAATTTGATTGGATAGTTACACTGAAATACTAAATCTGATTGGTTATTGTGGTGCAGAGCTTCAATCTTATTGATGTGATTAATGCTGGAAAATAGTGCGATTTGGGAATTAATCACATAATTTTTAACCAATCAGATTACAAGAAACACCATTGATTTCAAAATGGATATAATAAAGAGTTTAATAAACCTATAAGTCTGTCACCATCTTGATAAGTAGGTGGGCATTTCCATATATTCGCACATATATTTATTTATCTATATAATTTCAAATTCGTAGTCTTGAATGTCAAAGTGAAAATGAATATATGAATATAACCAACCTAAATACATTTTCTGCCCTGTGGAAAACCGCTTTAGGACGAATTGCAGACTTGAGGGACTAGATTGCATCTGCCAGCTTCATTTATGTTCCGTCTGAATAAGAAGGAACAAATCTACAGACTACAACGCCTATTCTTTACTCCTATCCATTACCTGCTTTCGCACAGATCGTTGCCCTGACATTTTACATTTCAAATTTTTGGGGGAAGATTTAAATACCCCAAGTCCTATGAAACTTAGTGAACACAATTCTATTTTACATCCAATGTTTAGTATTTTAAATCCAATGTTTCAGCTGTTGTTACGAATTCGAATTTCGCAACCCAAAAATCTCCAGTCTCACAGTAGAAGCCCTTTTCTAGAAAAAATACAAGGCCGGAAAGTTGGTCAAATTTTCCAAATTTTCGCGAGAGTAAAAAAAGTCGAAGCAATTGACCGTAATTCTACTAACTCAACCTTACAATTTTGAAATTAAAGTGATATTATAACACTTTAGGAATTTCGAGTAGTACTTAGTACTTGTAGAACTAGAGAATTAGTATTCAACTGCGTTGTCACAAGCTCCACAAAACTGTAATCTCCGTTTAATTCGGGTCAGTACAAATCTATTTCACCTGTACAATACGAGTTTTAAAGGGACGGGATCCGCCTACGCGAATGTGTTTCAAAAATCTCTAAGTTTGATGATGTTATGCATGATATTCTTTATAATTACTAAATTATAAAGATAGCAGATTTTCACATGTGTGGGGCCCAAGGCCCAGAATTTATTTTATTTACTTCGAAAAACTGAACACTCGCGTCGCGTTGTCTAATCACGCCGCGTGCGTGTGTGCCTTAATACTGAGTTATGAACCGACTTTGAATTGTAAACCATTACTACAAATACTATAATGTGTATCTCTTCGTGCGGACACTTTATTACCAAAATGCAAGGGAGAAAATGTACTATACTTCCAGGTTCAGTGTTTCCCAGATTTACGTGCCTCCGCTGTAAGTTTTACGGCGCGGAAATTCCAGACACAACTCACTGCAAATATGTTTGATTCACTTTTTTCTTTAGGAACAGAAATTTCTGGTATACCATGGGAAAGCGAGGAAAGTCAAAACTACATTCGAGCGGAATACATTGTCACAGATGCTGTAAGGAGGGAATTGAGGGATTTCTTTAAACACGAATGGAACAAACGTTACCAGGCGTCTCTCGGAGCATGGGATGACACAAACGTCAGTGGTAGTCAGTTGTTCAATCTGGAGAAAAAACGAAGAAGGCCAAATAAGACCATGCTTCAGTCCAAATTTAAAAATGGAAATACAAATGAGTGGGATTGTACCGTACTTTTTGATGCAATTCTTTATTCCAACTCAATCGGTGGTAGACTTAGTACAACAGAAAAGACCGAAATCGATATTCTTCGAAAACTGCGAAATGAAATAGTTCATGAAATACCTGACAAAAGGCTAACCGATAAAGAATTTCAAACCATGACAACAAAAGTTGAGAATGCATTGGGTGCATTGGGACTGTCAATCAACGAGGTCGTTCGAATAAAAAACCTCTTTGCCTCATTTATAATTCTTCCCCCTGAACCAGCCCATGAAGTCGTTTACCGTTCTGACAAGATACACGAGATAAGACAAGACCTTGAAGAGTTGCGCAGTGATAACGATGGCAAACTTACATATTTTTACATCTCTGGGAATCCAGGTAGTGGAAAATCTCAACTCGCCAGACAAGTTTGTGAAGATATTTGCAAAGACGTTCATGCGAAGGACGAAGCAATGTTTGTAATGACATTGAACGGAAAAGATTTAGATTCTCTTCTATATTCATATGAAGATTTTTGTCGTCGGCTGAATTGTAACGAGAGGGCATTACAAAATGTTTCAAGTTCATCTAAAACTAAGGAAGAGAAAATCAAAGATTTAAGATCGCGAGTATCATGCAAAATTAAAAACTGGAAGAAATGGTGGATTATTGTAGCGATGTGGAAAATCTAGAACTCATATCCCCACTAGTGCCTCTGAAAGGAGACGAAGTTTGGAAGGACGGTCAAGTTATATTAACAACTCAGAATACAAATGCAGCTCCACAAGACAGCATTTCAACTAAGCATATCTCACTTATTCATGGTATGAATGACCAAGATTGTCGCCAGCTGCTTGCCCTGTACCGAAGTACCTTATCGTGTACCGAGGTCGATGATCCATTACTACTAGAAGAGGTGGCTGAGAAGTTAGATCGTCAACCACTCGCCATGGCTGCGGCAGCTGTGTATATGAAACAAGTCATCAAGAGTTCCCCAGATTTTTCGTGGCGAGATTATTTAGGAAAGCTTGAGAAAGGTAAAAGAGGATTAACGGAAAAACGTCTTCAGCAGATAAATTCAGCAGCATATTCGTCCACCATGAGCACAGCAGTGCTGTTAGCTGTTGAAAAATGTACAGAAAATAACACAATCCTTAAACACGCTTTCAACCTTTTCTCTTTGATATCGTTTGAACCATTACCACTTGATCTTGTTGTAATATACATTCGGCAACAAGATATCGATATAGATGTCGAGGATATCCTTCTTGAAATGCAATTTTCTTCGTTATTTCTTCATGTCGGAAATGAAGAGAAGGATGTTCGACTGCATCGTGTTGTTCATGATGCAATCAAAACATTTTGTGGTGCTAAAGCACTCAATGATACCTCTGTTTCCGAAGACGAGATTCCAAATAAAAAAGAAAAAATGAACAGTGTAATTTACATGGTTCTAAAAACAATGGTTTGCTTCTTTCACAGGAAAGATAAAATCAAATTGGTTCCACATTTGAAAGCATTTCACGAAGAAAAAATGAACAGTGTAATTTACATGGTTCTAAAAACAATGGTTTGCTTCTTTCGCAGGAAAGATAAAATCAAATTGGTTCCACATTTGAAAGCATTTCACAAAGAAATTAAAAGAATGTTTCCTAAACAAGCATTACACTCGATATGCTCAAACTTTGACAGCACTGAAATTTCTCAAATGTACCTGTTTTTCGGGAAAACTTTACGCTACTTTTCCGAACTTAATCTTTCTATGGAATTTCAACATGAGGCATTGAAAGTTCAATTGGAACAAGCAGAACCAAACCTCATTGACGTTGCTGATTCATACGACAGCCTGGGTAATGTGTATAGCGACAAAGGTGATCTTGAACAGGCTAGTTATTATCACCAACAATCACTGGATATTATTTTGAAAGAATTAGGACCACATCACACTGATCTTGCTATTTGTTACAACAACCTTGGTAATGTGCTCTTGGAGAAAGGTGATCTGGAACATGGTAGTGATTATCTTCAACGGTCACTAAAAATTAGATTAGAACAGTTGGAACCAAACGATATACAGGTTGCGTCATCTTACACGAATCTGGGTAAAATGTATAGCATTAAAGGCGATCTGGAAAATGCAAGTGAATGTTTTGAAAAGGCGTTAAAAATTCAATTAGAACAATTAGGACAAAACCATGTAGACGTGGCTTCTTCTTACGGCAACCTAGGGGGTGTGTGTTGCATTAAAGGCGATCTGGAACACGCTAGAAAATATCATGAACAGGCTCTAAAAATTCATTTAGAACAATTAGGACCAAACCATATTCGTGTTGCGTCTTGTTACTGCAACTTAGGTGCTGTGTTTGCTCACAAAGGTGATTTGGAACATGCTAATGATTATTATCAACGGGCACTAAAAATTAACTTGGAACAATTTAGAACAAACAATATTGATGTCGCGAATATTTATGACGGCCTTAATTGGTACTGTGTGGCTTGAAAAAGGTGATCTTGAACAAGCTAGTACGTATTATCAACTGGCATTGAAAATCCGATTAGAACAATTAGGTGCAAATCATTATTTGGTCGCAGACTCCTACAACACCATTGGCAATGTGTGTTTTCAAAAGGATAATCTAAAAAGTGCTAGAGATTATTATCATCGCGCACTTGCAATTCAATTAAATCATTTCGGGCCAAACCATGTTGACGTTGCTACGTCTTACACCAACCTTGGTAATCTTTGCGGTAAACAAGGATATCTGGAACAAGCATGCGATTATCATCTGCAGGCTCTGAAAATTCGTTCAGATCTATTAGGAGCAAACCATACTGAAGTTGCTTCTTCTTACTACAACCTAGGCATTGTTTATAGAAAAAAAGGTGATTTGAAATGTGCTACTGATTATGCACAACGAGCTCTGGAAATTCGATTACAACAATTAGGAGCAAAGCATATTGACGTTGCGATGTCTTACCACGTCTTAGGTGTTCTGTGTGGAGATACAGGTGATCTGGAACGCGAGAGTGATTATCACCATCGGGCACTAAATATTCGAATGGAACAACTGGAACCAAACCACATTGACATTGCCCATTCTTGCAGTAACCTCGGTAATGTGTATGCTGATAAAGGTGATCTTGAACAAGCTAGTAAATATCATCGACGAGCGCTTGAAATTACTGTGGGAAAATTGGGCCCAAACCACATTGGTGTGGCTACTTGTTACGACAACCTTGGTGAAGTGTGTAGGAAGCGAGGTGACCGGGAACATGCTGATGAATACCATCAAATGTCAAAGAAAATTCGATCGGAACATTTAGATCCAAACCAAGTAGACGTTGCGTCTTCTTACAACCGTCCTCGTACAGCCAGTGGAAGAAAAGGGTTTTTTGAACATGTCAGCAGCTATTCACAACGGGCTCTGCAAATTCAATTGGAACGATTTGGACCAATCGTAATCACATTGTACTTTCATTTAATAATCCGCGGTCTGTTTGTAATGATAAACTATCTTTGGAACCTACTAGCGAATATTTTTAACGGGCCTTAAACATTAATTTAGAGCAATTGGGACGAAACCGTTTTGATGTAGCTACTCGTTATAACATAATAGGTAAAGTGTTCGGCATATTAAATTCGAAAAGAATCAGTTCTACAACGGCTAATGCATACGATTCGTGGAAAGAGCAAATTATCTTACTATGATGTAAAAGTTGTAAATACACGTTCAGTACTCAAGAAATTAAATTTAGTAAAAAAGAACAGAGCAATTATTAGCAATCGTCAGAGGAATATATTTTCATAAAAGTTCGCTTCTCAATTAAATAATCTTGTAGCTATTAACTCGTTATAGAAAAATGCATTTAACTAGTATAGGGTAAAATTTTTAAACAAATTATATTCCCCTCCTAACTCCAGTTTTATAGCACATGTCATATACACTTCTGCTGCAAAAAGTAGTCAAGCACGTTCAGGGATTACATATAGATTATTGACTTCATTTAGTATGGCCAAAAATTTTGGTGGAAGAGAGATAGAACTCTCACCCTTCATAACCTTCATAATCTGTGTTTATCTTTTCTGATGTCGAAACAATAGCATGGCAAAAACAGCACTGCAGTCTTAAGCTAATTAATGATTCTGATGAAATTGCTGAATCGTTTGATTAACAATTTTCCCATATTGGACATAAATTTGCCGACAATATACGCTTTATAGTGAGAAGAACCGGACATACATCGACTATTTATCTTACAAAAATGATGTCTCTTTTCATCTAAGAGAAACTAACCTGTCAACAGTTTTCACGCTTTTATCAAACTTTAGTAGATCAAAAGCTACGGTTTTAGATAAAATTTCTTCTAGATTACTTCGAGAATGCCCAGATTTAATCGCGGAATCTCTTACTCTTATTTTCAATCGTTCTATTACAACAGGTATACTTTTCCCTAGCGAGTGGAAAAGTGCGAAAGTCGTTCCTATACACAAACAAGGAAAACGAAACTGTATTGATAACTATAGACCGTTTTCGATTGTATACCTGTCATTGCCAAGGTTTTTAAAAGGATAATATATGATCAATTGAAACTTTACCTACCTCAAAATAAATTGCTTACTAATTGCCAGTCAGGGTTTCGCGGTCTACAGTTCTTCTCGAGGCCACTAATCAATGGGCCTACAACATTGACCATGAAAATGTTAATGCTGTTATGTACGTTCCTTGACGTCAAAAAAGCTTTTGATACTGTAGATCATGAAATACTGCTATAGGTAAAGTTAATGCATACGGCATAGAAATGCTGGTAATTGGTTTAGATCTTAAGTACCTTAATGGGTGGGAACAAAAGTGTTTCGTGAATGGTCATCTTTCGACTAGCCGTTTGCTTCGTTGTGGAGTCCCGCAAGGCACTATATTTGGACCAATTTTGTTTCTAGTTTACATCAATGATCTACGCAATTGCCTTTCATATTCTCGGGCTCAGATGTTTGCTCTTGAAACCAAATTGACTTATGCAAGTATAATAATATTGATGACATTAGTATATAATCATTGTTTTAACGAAGACCTTGCTATAGTGTCAATGAAGGAATGCCTAAATTGTTTGTACTTCATGTAAAATGGTAAACAAACCTTTTCACCGGAAGTAGTCAAAGTGTATGCAATTGGTTGCTAAAAATGTAAACAAACTTGATGATTGGTCTAAAACGAAATTCCCACTTGTAGTAAAAATGTGAAAATATATTACGCGTATGAATATTGGACGGGAAGCGTGTTTCTACACTGATTTTCGTCGTCATTTTGGACTATCTGGTGGTCATGCACGAAGTAGGGGAGAAACGGCCGGGGTATTCTCCCAAAGATCCACCGGAGATCCACAAGACCCACGCTATTTAGAACACAATATGAGTTTAAGATTCATGAAATCTACGACGCGGATGTGAAATAATACTGCTCTAATTTCCATTGTCAATCACGCACGCGATTACATTACAAAAATCTCCGCATCGGCTGGAATTTCAGCCCGGTTTGAGTTACCCGGGCTGAAACTTAGTGTTGTTGTCATGTAATCGTAAATAAACTTAAACCCGGACAGAAAAATTCGCCTTTACAATGCTTTTTCGTTTGTTTATTTCATTTTTATGTGCAGTCATAGTCCCTTAAAGATCAAGTTATTGTCATATATCAGCAATCGTCATGCAATCGTTACGAAGTTAGTCCGACTTTCCACACGATCAGTTTAAGTTTAGCTTTTAGGGGCTGTTTACATGAGCCCGGTTACTTGAGATTCAATGAAGCGTGAGAGGACTATGTGGTATTGAAATAAGTCTAGACACCAAACAAGCACATGCTAGTGTTGTGGTGATTATACGACTCCCAGGATCAAATTATCTGCTCATTTCAATACCAATAAAATCATCTTACGCTTCGTTGAATCTCGGGTAACCGGGCTCATGTAAACAACCCCTATACAGGGTGTCCCAAAAAAGTCCCCGCTATTGAAATGAAGCTTTTGTTGGAATTTGAATGCATGATCAACGCAGTAGTGTGTAAATAGCATATTTATTAGGTTGAGGCATTCAAATAAAGCGTCTTGCTTTCAATTGGGTTTATCATAATATTAAGGCAATCAGATTCGAACAAAGGCTTGATTTCAATAGAGGGGACATTTTTTTGGGACACCCTGTACAGGGTGAGTAAAAAAAACTGACACCTTTGAAATTCAAATTAGCCGGATAGCGGCTATAATGTGACAGAAGTTGCTTAAAATATTTCATAGGTATACAAAGCATATCATATTAATTAACCTAAAACATTAAGTTTGTTTCCATTGGGAGTTAAAATGCATTCTAAGCTCTGTAAATACAAAAGAACAGTTTTATCAAATCGTTTTTGTTGATTGTACATGGGAATTGTCATATTCCAGCCATACGTTTGCAGCTAATTTGAATTTCAAAGGTGTCAGGTTTTTTTTACTCACCCTGTATAAGATTACCACTGTGAAGTTAGCCGCGGATTCGGCCTCAGATTCGGCCTCAGATTGGGCCTCAGATTGGGCCTCACATTCAACTGTGTTCAATCATTCAAAAGTAGAATTTGGTAATTTAATAATAACCCCTTTTTTAGCCATTTTTTCGTTTAAACTTTAAAATTACGAAGATGTATAGCTTATTTATGCATTGCTAGACTGTAATTAGAACAAAGCAGTCGATTTTATACAGATTTACAGAGTAAATTGATTATTATTTTTGGGCACTGTGTGAGAAGTGATTGACCCGCATAGATATGGCATAAACTAAAATGTTTTATTTCAATTCCTGTGTATACGTCTATATTTTACAGAATAATACGGCCTTACAAATGGCGTGCATCGTTGGGCTGCACAGTCACAACATACTCGGGATTATTTGCTTCCTTTCTCAAATTAAAAATGTCCTTATGATATAAATACAAAAGACGTAACTAGTATATCCCTCACCGACGCTATCAATTTACAATTTGCCAAAGTCAGTTGCTGCAACAGGAATTAGCGTAGATGTGCATACAAATCGAACGCACTATTGCCATATGACAAACAATGGTCCAACGAGGTTAAGATTACACGTTAAACTCGGCGCAACTTTCACACGCATATATAAGGCGCTATTATACGAATCAAGATCAGGTTAAAAGAAGAAAACGGGCGTTTTTGCGATACATTCCACTTCGATTTATGACGTATTATTGCGTAATAATCAGATCACAGAAAAACTAAACTATTGTAATTCTGAAACATAAGTTGTAAAATTAAAAATATACTTTCCAATGGCTAAATGAATGTCAAAACAGAATGAAGCGAAAAAATCCATGTAAGACATATATAAGACGGTATTATACGAATCAAGATCAGGTTACAATTGAGAAAAGTACTTAATATTTAGAGGATGGTTTCTTATTAACTGTCCATACAAATGTTCTCAAATTTTGGCAATCAGTACATTACTGTACGATCTTTCTAATGACACCTACGTTTTTGCGGTAAAAAGAAAAAAAACGAGCGTTTTTGCGATACATTCGGCTTCCATTTTTGACGTATTATTGCGTAATAATAAGAGCGCAGAAAAACTAAACTATTGTAATTCTGAAACATAAGTTGTAATATTAAATATACTTTCCAATGGATAAATGAATGTCAAGACAGAATGAAGCGAAAAAATCCATGTAAGACATATTTATATATGGTATATATTTATATACGGTATTATATATTTATTTATATACGGTATTATACGAATCAAGATCAGGTTACAATTGAGAAAAGTACTTAATATTTAGAGGATGGTTTCTTATCAACTGTCCATACAAATGTTCTCAAATTTTAGCATTCAGTACATTACTGTACGATCTTTCTAATGACACCTACGTTTTTGCGGTAAAAAGAAAAAAAACGAGCGTTTTTGCGATACATTCCACTTCGATTTATGACGTATTGTTGCGTAATAACCAGATGACAGAAAAACTGAATTATTGTAATTCTGAAACATAAGTTGTAAAATGAAATATAATATCCAATGGATAAATGAATGTCAAGACAGAATGAAGCAAAAAAATCTATGTAAGACATATATAAGACGGTATTATACGAATCAAGATCAGGTTACAATTGAGAAAAGTACTTAATATTTAGAGAATGGTTTCTTATTAACTGTCCATACAAATGTTCTCAAATTTTAGCATTCAGTACATTACTGTACGATCTTTCTAATGACACATACGTTTTTGCGGTAAAAAGA